ATTTTGAATTCTCTTTCGAGCCTCTTCATATCCCTTGCAAGATTTCTACGGCAGCCGATAGTGAGGCAGGGGCCAAAATTCCTGACCCAATCATTAGCCTCACCGAGATGAGCTCCGCCTGGATTGACCGCTAAGTACACCACCAACCAGATCTCCGTATGCTCTATCAATAGCGCAGTAGGGGTACGTTTTAGATAGAGTGGTGTTGGTCAGTTAGACCGAAACCTCCAAAATGCCAGATTTTCCAACATTCTTCCAGATTTTGGTTCACCATACTAAACTTTACGAATCTTCGCCAGTTTTGAGAGCTCAAATCTCTAAGATACGCCTTTTTGACAAATCTGGCCTTCTACCATGCCTGCTGGACGACCCCAGGTCAACATGGAGCCCTATAAGGACCAAATCATTGTGCTCCTGACCCAGAAGACGCCTATTAATGTTATACTAGACATGTTGCACCAAAAAAACGGTCTCCAAATATCTCCTAGAACATTCAAGCGCCGTACGCAGGCCTGGGGTATCCAGCGACGAGCACCCACAGGCATCACCAATAACAGACCCTTACAAATACGCGTCGAGACACTCATCTGTGAGGGTAATCTGTCTCCGAAAGAGATACTCGAGGTTCTCGCCCGCGATGGCACCCCTATCTCCAACGACTCGCTTAAGCAAATCCGTAGGCGGCTTGGTATACGCCTTCACATTGATGATAAGGACGAGCAGCGTCAGCAGGAGGACGAGATACTAGAGGTACTGAAGGAGGAACAAGGCTTTGGGCTTATTGAAGGGTACGGACGGGGTCATCTTTATGCCCACTTACGCCGTCATGGGCATATCTATGCGAGAGACTGAATCTTCGATATTTGGTGTTCTTTGCGCCCCGATGCTCTTGAGCGTCGTTTGACCAATCTCCAGAGGTCGCGCGGTGCCTATAAATGCCCTGGGCCAAACTTTGTATGGCACATTGATGGATATATGAAGCTAGAGCCTTATGGGATCGAGATATATGCTGCGATTGATGGATATTCGCGTTATGTTACCTGGTTCTATGTTGGTATGCGCACCGCTATAGGGTCATTCTAAGGTCTTTGAGTATCTGACTGTCTGCCCTAGGTATAAGCACGCGAACTAGTTTCAGCGTTCTCCGTCAATATATAGATACATTATCGGCTACTGGCTTCCAACCGCGCACTATCCGCTCCGACCTAGGCACTGAGACGATGCTGATCGCCGATGCTCACTATGCATTACGGAAAGCCATTGATATCGATCCAATGCTTCAGTTTTCTGACTGCTTTTGGTATGGCCGTAGTGTCCAAAATCAACGCATCGAGTCCTGGTGGGGACAGCTTACAAGCTCTATGAATTTCGTGTGGCGTGAGCTCTTTATTTGGCTACAGGACCAGGGCCACTTTCAGGCGACTATCCCTGACCAGATTGCTCTTCTTGCTGTATATATGCCTTCTATTAAGGACACATGCGCGGAATTTGTACTGACATGGAACTCCCATCGTATAAGGAAGCAGAAAGGACGCCCCTATAGTGTTCCAGGCAAGCCATGGATGAACTACTACTATCCAGGGCAGGATACTGATGGACAGGATATCAAGGATTACCAGCACACGCTTGACCCTGCTATGCTTAGTGCTATGCGATATGACGTGGATGGCTGGGATGCTGACGAATATCTCCCCAGGCATACTATGGAATGGCGCCATACTCAGTTGCTACAAATGCAGTTTGACCCTGAAAGGCCACCAGTACGAGACGGCACCCGCCCATATGTGGAGATCTACCTTCGGCTACGAGAGCGAGCCGTCTATCATACCCAAATAGGTGCTATTCCGATCCTATCACTGTGCGAGAAGCCCACTATGTCTTCTGATTGGGCATAAAATTAAGGGAGCGGCTTGCAGGCTTGGCTTATGTTAGAGGTAAAAGTGGAGATTAATAAATATCAAGCACTAGTTCTGTCAGAACTTTATTATTCTAGGGATTGTAGAAGATATTATAGTATCTCCTGACGTCCTAGAATCTCCTAATATCCTAGTATATCCTATTGAGCATCTTCTACAAAGTACTACCCACCAAATGGCCTATTATTCCAGCGACACGCCTGATCTAGTCGATTTGACAGGGCCATATGACGATTCACCATCCTCCTCCTCCACCTATACTACTGGCCAAGGAGCAGCACCGACAAGACCCCCCTCAGCTTATACCGAGCCATGACCTGCTTCCTAACCCTATAGTATAATACACCAACGAGTGGCAGGTAGAGTTCGCAAGCGAGAGATAAAGAGGACTAGACCAGGACACATTACTAGGCCTGAGCCACCACAGCAGGCCCCAACTCTTATCCACTTCTGTCTCTGGCGAAGACCATCACTGGAGAGAAAATCATGGACGTTTGAGGAGCTTAGTGAGTTAATATATCGATGTTATTTAGTTTAATCAAGGTAGGTTTCAATTTGCTAATAGACACTTCAATATAGGTGATGTTTCCCAGTGGGTTCCTCCACAGACAATTTACGGCTTTAACGACTTTATTACAAAACATCTTCTGCCTGCGCTTAGTCCTGATCTCGGGGTATACTCAGAAATGTCTACTGATCGATATCAGTTAGCTACAGGCCTAAAAGGTCAAAAGGGCAAGAGGGAGCCATATATCCTATCCGCTACTGAAGATTACATGCGATGTACTACAAATCTCTGCGAGTGTTTTGATTTGGCTGGTGGAGCTCGTCAGATTTATGTTGTTATTATACGTGAGGAGGAACAGCTTCATATCAAACCTGAGCCTATAATGAGCCGCGAATCGAGCTTGGCCAGCGACATTAGCAATTGCACGACCCTCCCACCACCAGAACAGCCGGCTACTGACGCTAGGAGAGAGGCTACTTTAAGGGCTACTCCTCAGCGGCAGGTTACGCCACATCAGGATACACCGCAGCTAAGAGATCCTTCAAGTACGCTGCGACGTGGTGGTGCAAGACGCAGTGGCACCAGAGGCCCTCGGGTAGAAGCATCACCGGCTATATCACCACCACGTACGCGTAGTAGGGCCTCTAGGGGTATGAGGGCAGGTTAAAACTATTCAGAAACTGCATATTTGGGCGATTTTGAGCACCTACAAACAATCAGAGTTAGTTAACTCATAGTATAGTAAATGAGAAGGCAGGATTTTAAAGATATAGTTTTATGCATCTAGAATTCCAGAGGCCTTGGTCTAACTCTGTCATGACCTCTGAATAGAGGCACACTTTTTGCCCTTCTCCAGAAATACTTGCTTAACATATTTTGGCAGAAATATACAAGCCTAGGGTATGAACCTTCCATATTAGGGCTAGTGACCTTTTCTGCCGGCATTATTTGAATTTTGGCCCCAACCTCTCTATCGTCTGCCGTAAAGATTTCTCTGAGCAAGCATTTTGGATTTGTCCTTTGACATTCTGATCAAAAATTAGTCTCCATCTTGCGGCGCCTTGACGGTGGGAGTGGCTAGGAACCAAGAAACTTCATAGAACATCCGATTAAGTGGAAGAACTGACCTTTCTTTCTTACTCATACTGGATGTGTTGATTAGAAAGATGCAAGACAAGATAGACAATTCTTTGCAGATGTTTGCTTACCGACTGTTGGAAGATTGCTGCCCATCAGACTGAGACGATACAGAGCCTTCAACGGGCTCATCTTCTGGGATTCCTTTGGATCGGACTTTTCGGGGGCGTTTCACTTCAAGCTGACGACTCTTGCTACTATTCTGGCTGCTGTTTCTAGTACGGAAGGAGAAATGAGATCTTGGACTAGATGCAGTTTTTGCTGGACGAGGGATTCCGTTTTTCTCCTCGATCCGTACTCTGCATGTTTGCTACCTGGGCAAGATGTGCATGAACTCTGTTATTCAAAGAATCTGGTACGTGATTGCTTTGATCACTCATGATGTAGATATCTATAGGTGGTGGAAGGTTTATCCGAGAGGGAAAAGAAAACCTTTGGATAGCAACCACAGGACCGCGAAAGATGTAGAGATGGAAAATGAACATGTCTCTCGTATACAGTACCATTCAAGGGGAGCTTCGACTTTGTGTCAGCAGGCTTGGCTGTGAAAGTTCCTTGGCCGGAAGGCCGATGAAAGAGAACCCTCATGAACCATGGTTTCTGCATGACTGCGGAAGGATTGCTTGCGCTGCTGGTATGTTCTATCCAATAGGGGTCGCATCCACTATTCAATGGCACATGTAACGTCACAAATCTGGAAAGGGATCAGCACTTAAGGGTGTCAATATATGCTTAGCAAAAAAGTCTCTCCGCTGGAGAGTCCGGGGATCGAGACCAATGATCGACAGGGGTGGTCATTATCCCTTTTCAGACTCTTACAGGGTGTTTCCATGTTAGAATCTGGAAGTGCTTTGATTGGACTGGGAAAAGCAATACCCTTGAAACCACCTTCAAAGAAGAGAATTATGGCGAGGGAATCCTGTGTTCAAATGACTTTTGAAATTACAGTATTTGAGAAAATCCTTCAATCTTTGAAGAACTTAGTTGTGTATTCTGCCGAAGTGGCTTCTGTTTATTCCTCTTATTTCTCCCGATTTAAACGAAGCATATTTTCGGAATCGTGTTTATGCTCGCGGATATCCAGCTCAATAGCAACACACGATCGAGAGACTAAAAATTGTTTCCTGGAAAGCCCTGGGTGAATAAAAAAATGACTGTCAACTCCCATGTAGCAATTGAATTACTAAATCACCTATTCTGGGTCGCAATCTGCCGGGTAAAAATGGAAAAAGAGCCCCAAGCTCATATGTGGTAATTTAAATTTGAAAGACAATTTTTAACAGGCATTGTACCCATGCGGAAACCCAAGATCCCAATACTAGATAGATCCTGAAACCGCACAATCGCAGTCACAGTTTTGGGTTGGCAGAACGAAGCTGCTCTAATGCACATCTTTATCAAGTATCCTGTGGTTTTCTATCTATCCACCCCCCAAATCGCTACTCCCAATAAGGAGATAGCTCTTTGGTTCCACAGATACGGTGTACATAATCCCAAAGCCAGGACCTGGACTGGAATTCTCGTGGCTGAGGATGATGCGGATCCGGTGTGATATAAACTAAATGACAGAACAAATTAGCATGAGTAACCGACGAAGAGATGTCCGCGTACTGGAATGTGACTTTTCTGTGGCAGAACTACTCTCTGAAGCAGTGGATTCTGCTGAAGGTATTCTTTGAAGCCACTGGTCGATATTTTGAGCCTTGGTATCTGTGAACGGTGGGAATCTCTTCCTGGCACCCCCAAGCCGTCGAATACGTCTTTGGCGCTTTGGAACTGAGCGCCGACTAGATACCTTAGCATGATTGAGACGGCGTTTTCGAAGAATGTGATATTTCTTTCCCCGTAGTGATTCGACTGTTCGGTTAGTCTCATATTGCTCATTATAAGCGGCAGCACGAGCTTCCCAAGACAGAGCTCGGTTTGCATCTAGCCAAGGGAGAAGATTATCCTCCTCCCATTCTGACCAGCCGAACGAGCTGTGTTGAGACATCTTAGGGTCAAAAAAGCGGTGGTGAATAAAAAGCTGACTTGTGAGAATGCTGCAGGAATTTAGAACGTACAGAAAGTGGGCGTGGTGAGCTTTAAACTTTTAGCTGAAAAGATTGTCACGAAGCGACAGATTCTAGAGGCAACCCTACCCAAAATACTTGACTGATTACTGGGAATTACTGGTTATACCTGGAAGTTGCTGGTGATATGATAATCCAATGTAACCATTGAGAAACATGGTCAGACTGAGGTGATACGTGGTTCTGTTCTGCTACTGTGAATCCTCATTTATTTATGGCATTTCTGATGTTATCCAACGATGCTCAACTAGAAGGCATGATTTGTTCCCCGAAAAGTTCACCGAAAGAGCGAATGCAACATGTTGAGAGCTTGATAAAATGTCTTTGGATCACACAAAGCCATTCTTCGCTCATAACGCCACATGGCGTCACGACTAAGCATTGAGATTCACCTTTCATGCTATGGCGATTAGCTCCTTTCTTGATCAGCGTCTGCCAATTTCCCTATAGTATCTGTTCATCAATACGAGTGTACTGTATTGTAGACTGGTCCAGCCTACGTGACTCTATTGTTGCAGATATGTTAATTCCAATACAATAACTGGAAACTGTTTGCCAGCTAGAGACTAAAATGGTAGAGGCTAATTCGATCAGATCTCCGGATATGGAGACCAGTGGGGCAGGATCTCTCCGCCACCGCAGATCGTCCGTCCGCTCCGGGCTCGGTCGTGTATTTAGTATGCCCCGAACTTTTCAATTTTCTTCCTTTATTCAAAACTCCGATTAAACGAAACAGTTCAGAATAAGTTGGAATATCCAAACTCCAAATATGCCTTCTCGTCGAAGAATGTCACTTGTCGATGGACCGCACACCTTCCAAAGCAGACTGAAACGTGCATTATCTCTGTTATCTTCCGAATCGAGCAACGAAACCAGGAGCCAAAGACCAAAAATGAATCATTCCGCCCGGCATGCGTTGTCTTCCGACAACAATGGAGCTATCGGACGCAGAAAAGTTGGTGTTGAGGCCGACAATCGGGAGGGTTACCATTGGCGACCGTGGGAGATGAAATCTGAGAATGAGACAAGTCAAGCCCAGACTGCATTCGAGGGCGAGCCCGAAAAGTCCACACAAAATAGCATTATTGCACTGAAATGTGTATCCGAGTGAGTACGGAGACTGAAAATAGTTGTTCTTTTACTAATATGTTGATCAAGTCTGGATAGCCGAATGAAGTCAGTACATTTTACGATAAAGAGGGTGGAAACAATACTGATTTTTACTCTACAGATCCTTAGCAAATTCTGTTAACCGATAGGTTGCTTGGAATAAGATGACTCGGCATGACCTGGAAGATGCCCTGAGCCGGCTCGCCACCATGGAGACTCGAATGAAAGATTCGATGGTCCGGAAAAAGTCTGTAAGGTCGAGAATAGATTAGCCAATAGTAAGATAATACCTTTTGAGCAACCATCAAGTCCCAAGTCTTCAGAATGTGTATAATAGTTGTGGCGCTTTGATTTCGGGATACTCATCTTCTGTGGCCGACCATGCCATCAAAGAGGAAGACGTCATTTTCGGCTGGCTACTAGGGGGAAGACTTCTCCTACTCCTGATGTCTATTAGATGAATTTGAAATGTAGCGTGATGGTTCTCCCTATCTCCAATTACTGCTTGCCAAAGTCTAGATATGTTCGCAATCGATAAAGTGTAATTGCTCCGATCTCGGACGTGATGTCATTGCTATCCTTTCGATTATTGACCGTCCCCTGTCGCATCTTGATTGGTTATGGGGCTTTGGTTAAATGAAAAATTTTTAGGCCTCACCGCGGAATGTTCTAGGATCGAAAAAACGTACAAGCCCATTCAACTGTATCCTTGACAATGCGACCCGTTCTAGAACAATATTTATTTTCGGGGTGGAATCGGAAGTCGGAGAGAAAGATTTTGGTTCCGTGATTACATCGTTCCAATAAGACTGAAGTGGATAGAAAATTGCAGTCTAACTACTAGCTTTCCGTGGTTCAACTGAATGCTTCATAGTATCATGCAAAAAGACCCTAAAGCGGGGAAGCTGAGAAGCAGGCAGAGACGGTTCCCCAGGAAACAAAGGGGCACGCCCGAACCGTATGAAGCTACGGAGCCATGGAATTGAAGTAGGACAAAAGTACTACTTGGAATGCCCTTCAATCGGCACTATTCGGTAGTGAAAAAAGACGCACTTTGAGTTTATTGACCAAATGAACCTGAAGTTATCGCTCATACTATGGTAGAAATGAGGCCGCAGCAAATGAATTAATAATCTGAAAGGACATGCGAAGACTTCCTTGTATGGTTACGATATCCTCCCCCGGGAGATCGTCGATCGATCTTAAACAAATGACCCATACTCATTGGTCGAGGTTAGGGCTTGTGGATCAAACAGCGGCGGGTTGCTTGATCCGGAAAACCCGGGAAGCGCGCTAGGGTCGGTGGGTTCTGAAGGACCAGCGGTGGTGGCCCAATTGCCATGGAACACCTCGGTGCTAGGCAAGAAGGATGCCAGTCATTTGTTCTGAAGACTATCGATCAAATTCGCGAAACAAGACGTAGCGGAGATCAGTTCTCCGTGTGTCTGGTGCAAGACTGGCTGTATATCGTCCCATGCCACTTGGTCCTGCAACGTGGTGTTTGTAGACTCCAGCTGCTGCCGCAGCTACGAAGTCTCCTTCTTAAGCCGCTCAACTTCAGCGACTGCAGAGTTCTTTTCGGCATTAGCTTTGTGTACGTTGGACATCTCTCGAGCCTTCTCAGTGTGGAGCTCTTGAATGATCCGGGAAGTAGCTGCTCTGCCTTCTTCTCTCTCGGCAAGAATTCTTTCAACCTGCTCTTCATAATCGGCTAGAACTTTGAAACACTCCCGATGGGAAGACTTCCGACGTCGCCTCACAGAATGTTTCAAGGAATGTGTCTAAAATTGTGTTAGTCTAAGGCCAATCATGGAAGCAAAATAGCATATGAGGATAGGGATTGCCATAGTATATGGCAGGAACGGGGACTGAAATGACAGAGTTTAGCTTACGTCGGACATCTTGCTTGTCGCTGGGCTTAACGAGCCAGAGTCAGTGTCAGATCCTGAGACTTTCGACCGGATCAAGCGATTCGACGAGTTTCCGGATCTGCAGGCGCGCGATTTCGGCCGACTCGCATGCTGCTCAGTGCGACTTCGGGAAAGTTTGGGAACATTTGCCATTGCGAGTATATCTTTGTTCGTTGGAAAATTATTCAGAATACAAAGGAGGAGAATCTCAATGATTACAGACTTTGTGGGATACCATGTTATAAAGGTCTGGGTGGGGCCTAAGAAAGCAGGCGCAAAATAGCGCGAAACGCAGAATCTTGCCCCTCGAGATGATTTTGATGGCACTCAAATCAGTATCATGAGTATTCAATACACACCAGGATCTGCGGGCTGTACATAAGTGGAGACGCAGGAAAGGGAAATGATTGCCTTAGCTGTGGGGTATCTACATGATCGCCAGACCCCCACATCTTAGATCTGTGATTGACTACCCAGTTTCCACTCAATTATCTGTCTTTATTCTTACCAATTAAAGAAACACATTCAAAGATTGAGAATTTACCTCTAACATCCAACTCGCAACCTTTGCCAATGAAGAGTCTGTTTCGAGACGGTCGTTAAATTAAATCAGGAAGATTCAAAACAGCGTGACCGAATATCTCTAATTACCATGGAAGCGTCGCCGACATATTGACCGGCCGAAGAAGTTGAAGTGAGGGCACAAAGAGGGCTGATTTCCTCAGCAACCGTACAAGGGTTCTCCGCCCATGGGGATCTAGTCCATAGAGGCCCAGAACCCTACAATGGCTTTGCCACTGAGCACAGTGGAACGACAGGGGCGGTCACCCATTGATTTTTGAAGCACCGCGGTGTGAATTCTAGGGTTAGCTTATTTGACACAACCAATAAGCTCTTGTTGGTACTTTAAGCTGGATGGAGCACGATACATAATGGCCTTGGTACGATCCATTCACAGAGGCTGATGCGCAGGGTAACATACAGATGACTACAACGTGAAATATTGGTAATGTGTGGAAATGGAACCTGAAGTCTAGATGATCAGTCTTGACAAATGTTAACATTTAACAGTGGGTAGATCTGTCTGACAAGATTCAAGGAATACCAAGTTCTCGGTGAAAGTGAATATACGCCGATCGAAATTCCAGGGTAGGCTATGCTGTAGGCATGCTACGTAAAATCTTTTCCGTATATATATAGTACTCATCACTAGCCGCCTTGGTTGACTCTGTTCTTCTGCCAGTGCCTAACTAGAGGGCTGATTCAGTGACTGGATGGAAATCGACACGCAACTGAGTCAATGCCCTAGACCACTGTTTGGCTCTCTTTACGTAATAAGGTAATATAGTATCGTCAGACCTATTGGCCATATTTGCAAAAATAACTCACCACTCGCTGTTTTCAGCGTATAGCTTTGAGGAGCCTGACAAAAGCCAAGGTTTGATATCCGGGCTCTGTCTTCGGCTGGAACCATGGTTCCCGGACCCTTGCTCATCCCAGGCTTTATTCTGCAGTATTTTGACCGCGTAGATTTTAGGACAGGGCGTTGTTGAAAGACTGCAGAGGAATGAATTTTTAAGTATGATGGATGCTGGGACTTGAGGAATACTGTATTCATATCCAAGAATATTCGCTAATAGAAATCAGCTCTCAAGGACTAATAGAAAAAAACCCTCGCTTGTAGGTGATCAATAAACTTATGAAACGTGTATATCAAACCTACGGAGATTATTTTAGGCCATAGATGGCAGAAAACAATAGAAGGTCTGCGCTTGCTCTCATTCTGTCTCCCAATGTTTACTTTAGCCAATCGACTCAATATGAAACATGCTTCAGCTGGGTATCGAAAACTTTCTTTCCTGGCTCCTGGATACCTATCATAGGTAGAAATCGCGAATTCACAGTATTTGCTCGCTCACATACTATGCAACAGTCGGTCGACCCGTTGTCTCCCAGGAAACAAATCCATTGTTCGGGACCCGTAGAGTCCATATCGTTCTAGAGCAGTCTTGACGCTGGAACTTCCGACACTATGATATCACGATGTAACTACCCGCTTCTATCTTGGCGTTTAACATATCTTTTTATTTAAAGCCGGCGTCCTGTCACGCCTCATCATGAACATCTTCTTCCCACAGAGTCACAACCCTATTACACCATGGACACAACCGTTGCTAGCCTACCCCCCGCAGTGGGAGATCTGCTCATGAAGAACATCGGCATCATACAGATAGTGTCGATGTATTCCATTGGTGCTTACAGTGCACTGGAAACCGACTTTTTCACTTTCTTTTTCTTCAAGAAATATTGTGGCTTGTTATTTTGGAGTATGTAAGCCGCCTCCTGGGGAATCATTGTACATGCCCTTCCAGCCATGACCCGATTCATTTCTCAATCATCCAATCTGCCGACGTCAATTCCATTCATACTTGGATGGTATGCCATGGTGACCGGCCAAGCTGTTGTGTTGTATTCACGGGTACATTTGCTCGCCCCCATGGAATGCAAAACACGATGGATGTTGTGGATGATTGTCGTGAACGCTTTCATTCTTCATGTCCCAATGACAGTGTTGTTCTTCGGCCTCAACAGCGGCGTGGCGGGGTTTGCTCGTCCTGCTGCAATTTTTGATCGAATCCAGTTGATTGTTTTCTGCATTCAAGATCTCGTCATCTGCAGTTTTTACATCTATCACACAGTTTTGTTGTTAAAAAGCAGCCGTAATCTGCACAGAATTGGGAGCCGCAAAGTGCTCGTCAATATACTCTGTGTCAACATCCTGGTTGTGCTGATGAATATTTTGCTCCTCGTCACGGAATTCAAACTCCACTACATCCAGGTCAGTTTCAAGACGGTGGCCTACAGTATCAAGCTGAAACTGGAGTTCTCTGTGTTGAATGAAGTCCGCTCCTTTTTTTCCAATTCCATCTACCTTGGCGCTTCAGAGATCGACAAGCAGCCTCACCAAGATGATACAAGTTCATCCAACGTGAGATTGAACCATTCAAATGCCGGTCCGGGTGAGGTGCGACAAATGCCTCGAAGATCGAGCGGGGCTCAGGCACAGCTAGAGTATGAAGGGTCTCTGCATGAGACACAGAGTGATGGCCATCATTCAGTGAATGTCAGTTTACCCCGGCCAAGTCTCTCAGAGGACAACTCAGAACAAGCACTCCGTGACCGGTCGGAATTTTCGAGCGTGCTCGAGCTGTCGTTGTCGCAAATTTCGGCAAAGTCTGATATATGAGTTTTTCAGCCGCCAGTCCAAATCTGCGGTGAAATCAAAATTGAGAGTAAGGGGAAAAGTCGGAATAAAGAGAGTTTCAGTTGTTGAAGAAAATAGATTTCGTGGAAAAAGCGAATATATATGCATGCAATATCACCGAGGATAAAACACGCGTATGAGTTACACCGATGTAATCCATGTGATGTTGAATGCGAAGCATGATAAGTTCTACACCTAGTAAGCAAGACTGCAGAAATAACAGCGAATTTTACACTTTCTACATATTGAGATAGATTTAGTAGCACTCTCAAATTCCAGCGGCTACAGCCGCCAACCTAGGTCTTCAGTCAAGAAAGTAACGCAAGCGTCTCATCATATTCAGGCCTTTATGAGCGTGGTATGGTAATAACGGGTCACCTGTTACGGCGGTGTAGATCGTGGCATCAGATAGAGCCCTTCGTGCTCCCTTGTAGGGAGGCGGTGCCTGCATTTTGTGCGGTAGTGGTTTCGACGTATATGTAGATGAAAAGTGGGAGGGGCAGAAAGTAAGAAGTGATGAGCTTACTCACAGAGGCAAGTAGCTGACTCTCGTGAAGCATAGAAGACGCCCTTAGCACTTGCCAATGTCGTTCTAGACATCACGTGAGTACGGGCATCGTGAGGCAACCCCAAAGGCGCCCCCCTTATACAGCATTTTGCCAACACGATTGATGAACATCGCAGGTTGCATTTATGCTGGAATTGCTAAAAAGAATGACCTGAGATTCACTCGTGAACAAAAACTGCTAACAAGATATGGAAACTTGGAAAGAGCCGCCATCAGAAATAACACATCCGGAAATCTATGGCCAACCCAGGCCAAGCAAGAATTGACTCATATATATTAAGATCATTTTTAATTCAAGATTTCTGAGGTTAGATGCAATTATGTCATGAAGCAGGGAAGAAGCGCAATATGAGAAAATCTGCACCTCACATCTCAGCTATTTAGCACTCCATTAGCCTAATGACACTACCAAAGGAGTATAAGTAAGTTTTGAAATCCTTGGGGTTTACTTGACTTATTACACATCCATTATTTCCATTATTCCACCACAATGGCTCCTTATACTCGCCAGTCTCGCCGCACTGGAGGCAGAATCAAGTCAGACACAGCTCTTTCAAAACGTGCTCATTTAATGTCTCCGCGGACATTTAATTCAATAGAGAAATCACCTTTTACTGCCAGCAAAAGTGATGGGAGTGTCGTCGGCTTCAAATTCATCGAGCAGCCGAAGACAATTCTACGGATCAGGCTCCGGAAGAGCGCTCATAAACCAAGCGTATCGCTAGCGACCAGCTTAGTCAATCCCAACAGCTCAAGCTGCCCGGGTAAAAAGACTAAGAGAAAAAGAGGCTCCGTAGAGAGCCGCACCGATCGGCTCATTTAGTTGCAATGACTTCGCCCTACGCCCCACCGAAAAGCTGAACTATTAAAGTCTCAGAATTAGTGCCAGAAGTAGAGGGTGGCATCAGAGGACAGGCTTGTTTATTAGAGTTGTTTTGTGAGATGCTATATCAATTGTGGGTCAGAATAAGAAAAAAAAATAAAGCCACTGAAGTGTGATCATACAATACAGGAGAAGCTTTGCGCACGGCTCGATAGTTCCTTCGTCAGTGCAGAACCTGCTGGATAATAGAGCCCACAGGCAGAAATTTCTACCACTAAAATCTTGGCTATTATATCTAGCACTTGGGTTTCCTTGAACTTTCTTACCACATAATCGCAATATAAAAGTACGTATCTGAAATTGTCTATCATAGACGATTCTCAGTAGACTGCATATTGAAACCTTTTGCGGGAAGGCATAATAAGAATGGCGACTTGATCTTGTCTCTTGCTCAAACAGCTGAATTGAGGTATACTTTCCAATATGTACACACAAGCGGAGGCCACTTTGAGATATAATGATAATGAGATTTCAAAGAGCCATTTCGCGAGCTCGCCTGAGCTGATCAATAAGTACTCAACACCTTGGTTATATAAGAAGCCACGTGTCAAGGGCTAGAGAGCTGCTTACTATACATGCGCGGTTAAAGCGGCCCGGCAAGAAGAATTTGGCCGAGCCTGTCTTAGGCTAAGTTGAAATTTATTGACATCCTCTGGCCTTGCCTTTCATTCGTCTCAAATAAAAGGAACCAAAATGATTAAATTGTCTAATCATGTTAGATTTTATGTGTCTCCGTATGGGGTCCACTGGTCAAGACTAGGTACAAGTCTTCATGCCACCAACAAGTCTTCCATCTAATATTACGCCTGGGCCTGTGGCACCGAAGTAGTAGAGAAATAAACTTTGTAGGCTTGAATAAAGGAGCCTCAACCTATCAATTTGTTTCATTGTTTTTTGGCAGTATCTCTTCGATAATTGCTGACAATGAAATGTATAAAATTACTCAGAACGAAGATAAAAAGCGATGTTGGGATGTCTATTTAATTTCATATTTGAATATGAAAAGACCTTGCGCTGTTGGAAAGGCAACCCTAGAAAGACTACCTAACTTGAATATCAAACGAATTGTATTGCACTCCCCTATGGTGGCCCCAGAGTAGTCTCACGGGAGGTTGCTCCAGTGTTCGAGTGAGCTCGGACCAGAAAATAGCCAGATATCCACGGTAAACAAGCATCAGTGTCAATGGCGGATCGCTGCTTGCAGCACCGCGTTGGAGAATGACACGAGAGTATAAGTCCAAATCAGATGTATTCCATGCAGGCTCGGGTGCCAGTTCTGGGCAACTCCCATTCTTTCCAGAGGCCGAAGAAGATACAAAATTCTTCCAAGAAGACCCCCAATCATCAATTCGCCAAAAGAATTCGCCAGTTGCAATTGGTCTTGTGTGAAGATAGGTTTCGCGAGTGCATGGATAGTCGGCATTAATGCAACCAGGCTGACAGATGCCAAATGGAGTGAGCAATGAGTCAAAGGGGCGTCATCGTCATCAGTCTGCCCATGAAACAGGTAGCGAGGTAAATTTCCCACTGTGATACCCGTCAAAGACGAGATATACCAAATTTGTAGCAATGGCTGGCCTGAGAATAAGAATGGAATCGTCGGAAGTGTGACAACCCAGAGAAGAAAAAGACGACCGAGCTGGGGTGAATCATGCTCATCTTTGGTATCCTCATACTCGAACACACGAATCACGTGGTGATAGATGAGACTCAAATACCAAAGGGCAGTCCCAATCCCAAATCCCGTCACGGACAAGGCGACAATGATTTCCCCGGGGGTCGAAGGGAAGTGGAAAATAAAAAATTGCAACGTATAGATTAAAAAGTATGAGAAGCCGAAGATCCCTATCGAGGCCCCCAGGGCACAGTCGCGGACATTCTGGCCATTGGAAAACATGTTTTCGTGGAGGAGATGTTTTCTGTGTAATGAATGGATAAAGCGTGGGGGAGCTGGCAGTTTTATATTCCAGTGAGGTGCTGACGCTAGTATCCGGCTTTTTCTCAGAGAAGATCGAAAAATGGTGGCAGCCGTAGACTGCGGCACGGTGGTCACCGCAACTTTATACGAAAATCGAAGATCAACGGTCTGATCATTTTGAAGGTTTTCTGATCAGTTTTCACCTCACCGTCAACGCTAGAAGAGGGTTTTGCGAGATAAGTAGATAGGACCGATGGACCAAGACACAAACCCTTCGTATGTCACGTCATGGCGACAATTGATGAAATTGCGCAACTTGAGCGTGAGTTAGGCCAGCAGCGTGTCGAGAATGCCTATTACCGCGACTACTACACACTTTTCAAGCTGTTGCAAGATCTCGCAGAAAACGCATCTCATGATCTGCAACGTCTTTACAACTCCGACTCACTGAATGATCCGCGCAGTTCTGGCCACGAAATCCTGTGGTCCCTGCAAAATACGATATAGTATGATTGAAAAAGCATGCGAGTCCGAAAAAAGATGGAATGTTCTCTGTCGCATCGACCAATCCTACTCAGCCCGAGTTACTTTGGACCCAATCAGGACTAGGTATGTTGGTGCAGAGGCATCTTATAGGGTAAACCAACCAACAAAGGATATCGGTCTTAAGCCTTGGCGATCTCGGAAATAATGGAAATATATCAAGTGGTCGGGAGATAATTCTCGCGGTTTCTGAATAAAATACTCAACCAAGTCTCCTGTGAGAAACTACATGAAGTGTAAGACTTTAAGGACACATACGGGCCAGACGAGACAGAAAAAAATCGACTCAGTTCAAAACATTGGGAGACACTTCATCTAGCATACTTGAAATCAAACAATATTTATAATCTTGTGGTGTGCATAGTACATTCAGATAGGCTATGGCACCCATGTCCATTCAACTAAAAAGCCGATTTTTCTCGAATCTTCCACTTCAAACGCAAATGACCTAGTCATCTTCGCATGGGTGTGGCATCAAATACAGCAACAAAAGAGCTGTATCAACCAAATGATCGATGATCCGATAGATAGGAAAACTGCCAGCCATGCGGCCCCAAAAAGTCGTGAGCCAAGGATTGCCTTGACACCTATATCACTTAATTTAGCTTTTACTTCGGTGACAAATAGTCCGTACATCACTGTCACCCCAACCGTCGCGGTCGTGATAAAAAGCGCAGACAGCTAGCATGGTCAGCCACATCTATTCGTCAGATTCACTTGGAGACCCACATACTGGGCTGAGGATGGACAAAAGCCTGTCCCCTCTGTCAAAGAAAGTCTTTTGAATGCCAAGGGCGGCTACTAGCGTATTTCCAACGAGGCTAGATATGTATAGATAGATAATGGCGTGAGAGATCTGGCGATAACCCGATATTGTCGACTCGCCTACCGGCTGGAGTACCTTTTCCATTTTTGCTACAGTGGAACTAAGTGTGGAAGACAGATTAAAAGCAAATGTCAAGCTAGGGTCCGAACAGGTGGACTCAGAGTTATGTCCAGATGTGCAATAGCTCCAAAGACCCACTGAATAGTGTTGTGGAATATGGGATTTCAGCTTATCAGCTTCCGATTAAATAGTATGATGAATCGCCGACGATTTTTTTGAAGATGCTTCATCTGCACCCTCACGGGCAGTCGAGGGTACATTGTTGACCGCATTTGCTCCGTCATGAACAATAGCCGAGGAACCCACATCCTCAATCCCAATAGACCCGCGGGACAATAAATGGTCGATCTTAGGAAAGTCCGTTAGATCTACCTATACTATAAATTAACCTTTGGTCGGAAGAATGCTTGAAAACCGTCCTACCTTAAGAAAATAAAGCTCGCGGGATGTGGAGGGTGAGGAGCAGCTGACAAATATCAAGATCAGACAGGGGAAGACTGCGATCGAAAGCGACAAGGCAGCAGCTGAGACAAGCCGATCTAGCCTTGTTATCGTTCGGAGCTTCATTGCTCTAGAATATTTTTCATATACCAGAGACAGTCGAGAGAATGTATATCTGATAATTTGGAGGAGAATATATATATATATTCAGAAGATCTCAAAGCCTCTCAAATTTCCTATCATGGGCGGATTTAATGTGAGGTAAATTTCTGAATGTCTCTTTGTCGACATTTTATGAGTCTAGTGTCGCAGTATTGGCTGTCTACAGCACAATATTGTACTTCAAGCGATAAGGAGGTGGTCGGTATCAGAAAATCATAATGTCAGTTTTATACTTGAAGGTATGTGCTAACTTTGTGCCAAATCTATGAGGTCGAAAGTTTCACTACATGCCCAATATATCACATAATATAAAACATCAAGAGAACTCCAGCCAAGTAGCAAGAAGTAGGTCTACAACTTCGGCCTTCCCGAACCGTCTCTCTTCCAGTTCTGTTCTCTGAAAGTACTCTATATAGCGTCTCCTAGTCAGTCAGAAACGGATGACCTGGAGTGTAGACTCTATGCTTATACTAAGAGTCACTTCAAGCTATCGGCCAGGGTGCATATGTCCCATCTCGTCTTTGAAACGGGATTTAAGCGACGTATGGATCAGCGTCGGAATGTTCGCCGCCTCGAACGAATCTTGAAAATACAAGGTTGCAATCGTTTGATGAAGGAAAATTATGTGTCCGTCATAGTATCCCAGGCAGACTGGCAACATCGGGTGCATCCGCGGTCGGACAACGGGATTCTTCCTAGCTTGCATGTGGATTGGGATTACGGATTACGAGCGCTAGACCACGAGAATCTAATTGTTGCCGCTAGAAATACACTCGCATTCAACAACCAATGGTGGATAGTGGATGTCTATGTGGCTGATGAAGAATCGGGTATGAAGCCTTTTGCTTATCTCAAAGCTTGATCTCCTCTGAATAATGACTACTTTTTCTCAGATAACCTCAATGTAACTGCCCACAAGCTCCAGGGAAGACTCCTCCAATCATTACGAGAACGATTTTCAAACGAGCATCGGCCATCAGATGGGTTGATATATGAGCGTATCAATTACTATGAGGGCCGTCTTGACGGGCCCGAGAATCAACGGGCAGCGGAAAGCTGGTGGGCGGCCCTAGAGTCAGTTGCAGGAAGCAAGAAAGGATAGTATCTGAGATTATTCTTCAGGAACCAGTTCCTGACCCGTCAGTTGAACTCGCTACTTGCCATTCCAGGGCTTTGGGATGGAATGCAGATTGGAAACCTGCACAAAGTTACCGCTATGCACTGTGATGAGGTACGTTAGACTTCCGGTGCCAGATTTCGGTGGACCAGAGGCTAATACAACTGGTATACCAGGCAATTTCGTGCTATTGGAGAAGTATTTTGACCACATTCCTAGCCATTGTTGGAGGCCACATCCAGAGCTTACAATTAATTGACGGTGTTACTGTCAACCTCATCGAGTCCCGAGTCCCGAAAGTCTCTAAAAAGGACAAAGAATTCTTGTAGAGGAAGTTTGACGAAGGCGTGCTTTTCCCCAGTTTTTCGGAAAATGATCGACGGGAGATCTGGAACCGATTGAAAGAGATTGACTCTCCACTTCCATCATTAAAGACATTTTTCAGAGACCGTCTCTATCTGGAAGTACCACAGAGTGTCATGAAGCAACTATTTCTCCAACCAAATAGTACTGATGATAAAGTGACAATCAACAATGGTGTTCATGGATTATAGGAAATCGGATCAACGCTCGACCCGGCAGCCCGAAAGGCCAGGTTTCGAATTTACATTCTGGAGCTCTGGCACTTCAGCTTCCAGTACGGATTCGAAATGACCGATTGGAGGCGGCTCAAATCATCAAGTGGTTTGGCATTCGGAACAGCGTCTAGTCAGCAGCACTTGAATCTGCCCAACCGTACAGATATCTGGAACCATTTTCACATGAAAATAATGACCATGGGTCTCCGAACACCCAACGCTATCGACCTTTCTGCCTCGCCAGTCGTATTACCAACCGAGATACCTTGCGACTACCCTGAAGATGCATCAGACGAAGTGGATGTCAAGAAAAGGAGTGGTAAACCCTCAATAGATACTATGGAAGCCGACCGATACGCTCTATCAGTGATGTCGCTGAAGGAAAGAAGGATAGAAACCCGTGTCACGTCGAGATTTCTCCGTATATCGGTGTTCAAGAAATTCTTCGGTTATTTAATGGACCATGATGCCATGAGTGGCCAGCTGCTATGGCCCGAGCTTCTGGAAGACAGCACTCCGCATATTAGCGAGAATAATGATGAGGACACGCCGACTCTTTATACACCGGGATTGGATAGTTCGAACTGGACCAATACCAGTTCTGGAGTCCATGGGTCGGAATCTCATGTGTATCATAGCATACCCTACATGGATTTACCGGATGATTCTGAAAGCAGCTTCGAGTCCGCCCCGTTTCCGAGCAGCTATGAGTCCACTCCATTTCCTCCTTCAATTTTGATGAGCACGGCTCCGTTCCCAAATCCCCATCCCTCCATTTGATATTATACGGCATTATGTTATGAGTATATGCAGATTGCTTTCTGGGTGGCCGGAACTTTAATCCTGGATCACTTCACTAAATGGTCATGGCATGTCTACTCTATGAGGCCGTATGCACAAGCGAAGAGAAATTGAATGTGAAGCATATTGGAATGACAGAAATTTTTGAGCGGAGAAATTAATTGCTTTCGAGCAGCCTAGCAAAATATCTGTTTTTAGGAATGACTACATTCAATTCGGTTGATTACACTATCTTCTAATTGTCATATCCAAGTCCAAGTTTGAAACATAGCTATTGGTCTATTCTCGCTTTGAAAATCTGGCAGCTAGAGTAACACATGGAGACACCAGGTAAATCTGAGAGGACAGAATATATGAAATGTTATTTTGGAGCGTATTTGTTGACAGCTAGAGTAAGTAAATCTAAGAAATTTGTCTCTCCATCCACCGTGTCCTTTGCAGAACCCCCGGCTAGGTATCTCAGTATGAAAGATCCAAAGAGGTAGGCCTGGCTTGGTAGCGGTTGCGATAATAAAACGTCTTGCCTACAATTGACTGCGCTGGCTAAGATTTTTATGGCACGGTACCAGCTATCTGACCCGGGCCGTGATCTCCGGGGGTATGAAAGACGAAGTGATCGGGAGATGCGTTGTGAGCGACGGGTAATCGCCTGGCCCAGTCGCTGCATTTTGGGACCACCCCTTATTCCAAGGCTGCGGTACGCGATCAGGACTGAGTGGATATCCATATAGAGCGGAACATTCGGCCCAGGCGGATCTGTAGGTCTTGAAGTTGTAGGTCTTGAAGTACTCTTCAATATAGAATGATGCGAGAGCGCCAGGTCGGCCGCTCGTGAAGATTCCTGGCGGGGCGAAGGCAGGCGGTGTAAAATTATGGGCCGTTCTCTTCGCTCCAGGGGTTGGAGTTGTGGCGTAGATACGTGCGACAGCATCCACAAAAACATTACAATAAACCTGACATATGATTCACTCAAATCGGGGTTGAGGCTTCGAGTAGAATCGAATAGAGTAGAATCGAATAAATTATCACTGGAAGGCTTTTGAATCACATTATTTTCCTTGGAAACTGCGCTGGTTGTAGCTGATGAGTATGCCATGAGATTTGGCAGCCCAAATTTCAATTTAATGTATTTTCTCTCGCGGGTCGTGCCTAGACATTATAAATAATATTGGCTTGTGTCTTCTAGGAAGGGGAGTCACGTTTAAAATGACCATGATAGTTTATTGAGGTGAGAATCGAGATGAGTCATCAGTCACATGACCAATATGGCAGATTCTTGGAATTGGGGGGGCGGGCTGGCAAAATGAGGGTGTTGAGTCACCACTCTCACCACTTTCGATGCCCTTCCCGCCTTCACCGGATTTTCAGGTCGGTGATCACCTTCGGTAAAACTAGCCGCAGGAATTACTCTAAAAATCTACATATTTTCTGTATCAACGCATTTCCAATTCAACCTTTGATCCATTCGATCACCTCTCTCACCATTTATCCTCCATCGGTTTAATCTTTGGCGGTTTACATCTCACCGGTTTATTTTTCAACAGTCGACTTCACTCGCCTACATTTGAACATCTTAGCTTCATCAGTTCGATTTCACCGTTTAATCTTCCCCGTTTACTCTTCACCAATTACTGTTCACCAGTTTACTTGTCACCAGTCACTTTCACCAGTTTCTCTTCACCAGTCTCTCTTCACCAGTTTTTTCTTCACCAGCTTCACCAGTCACTCTTCACCAGTCACTCTTCACCAGTCACTTTCACTAGTCACTCCTCACCAGTCACTCTTTACCAGTCACTCTTCACCAGTCTCTCTTCGCCAGTCACTCTTCACCAGTTTCTCTTCACCAGTCTCTGTTCACCAGTTTTTTCTTCACCAGCTTCACCAGTCACTCCTCACCAGTCACTCTTCACCAGTCACTCTTCACCAGTCACTCTTTACCAGTCACTCTTCACCAGTTTCTCTTCACCAGTCTCTGTTCACCAGTTTTTTCTTCACCAGCTTCACCAGTCACTCCTCACCAGTCACTCTTCACCAGTCACTCTTCACCAGTCACTCTTTACCAGTCCAAAACTTACTAGTGCTTCTTAATAATCCAGATTTAAATGACCTACTTTTCACCGTTCACATCTCACCGGTTCATATCTCACCACTTCAATTCGCCGGAATAGGCAACTTCCCGACGTTGTCGGTATCTTTCCCAGTAACGGTACATACATTACCGGTATTTCAATTGCATTACGACTTATTTCCCGGGGGCGCTGTTTTTGATTGTGATACTGTATATCCGTTTTCCCGAAGCCATCAACTCGTGTTTCCAAAAAAAATGTATCGACATATATTGTAAGGCCCTTGTTGCGAGATACCCATCATGCCCATACGTATATTTTACATGACCTTTGACATAAAATCAATCAATATGCGTTTAAGATTCAATTGAGAAATGCGAAACTTCCGCTAAATCTGAAATACGTGTGCTAGACTCCTCTCTAGAAAAGCTATTCGCCAGCGAGACGGGAGAAAGGTATCTGGATTGCTCATTTTTCTTTTGGAAAGAGCGAGAGATGAGACGGTGTAGAAGCACTAGACCTATAAATGCCAGGCTTCCTCCAACTACGCTCATGACAATCAATTCCACACCCTGTTTAGAGACTCGCATTGACCAATTGATACGACTGGATGTTGGATCGTACATCCATCGGGCTGAAGTCATGATGGCAGATGTAGAGGTGCCGTCTTTCGTGCTCGTTTGTCCTAGCGTGGCTGTATCCATCGATGTTGTAGACTGAGCGGAGTGGCCTCCATGCTGTTTGGATGTAGATACGCTTCTCCAGACCCCGTCATGCAACCCAGCTGTATGAGGTAGCCCCGTATCTGATAAGCTGCCTTTCAAGCTTTCTTTGTCCCAAAACACTACGCCTCCAGGATCCCCAGTCATCTTACTGTACAGTATGGGCGTTGGCAAAGAAAGCGAGTCCGGCTCAGGTTCCGACCAAAATTCCAATGTAGATTTTACAAGAGTATCCAAAGCTTGTTGCTCCTGGTTGTTGTGGGAAGTCAATGAGGATACGTGTCTCCCATTGGTCTCGGGTATATAGAGCTTGAGGCCATGAGCTGAATGCGTGAAACCGTGTACATCTGCAGTGGTGGGTGCTTGACTCTCATATGATGAAGTGGCGGTCGTAGAGTATCTCGGTTGCGTCAAATTGGACACCAAGTCAACTTGAGAAGTGTGCTCAGAGTCAGATGGAGAAACCTCAGAAATAGCTGGACTAGGAGCAGTTATCACGAGATAATGTTCCGACGGGGGGCGTTCTTTCCTTGCTGGGTGTGTTTGGAAGCAAGGCTGCGCGAGTTGTAGAGGTAGCATGGGGAACGGACAGAGATTTATAGGACATAGAGGCTGAAAACTTGGGATTTCTACTTCAAAAGTCAGTGGGTGTTCTGTCATGTTTTACTTTCATCGATCACCGACCCCCTGGAAGTTTTGGAAACGACATTTGTCGGCATGCTGACCTAAAGCACAGCAGTGATATGAATTGTTGAGCTTTCAAAGAAAATGCGCTATATATTCTCGCAAGTTTCTCAGGTCTTAATTCATTATTTAAGTTAAGACTCGACCGAATTTCCAGAACTCCGCCACTAGAGGCCACTTTGCTATAGTGAGTGGTAAGTGTTTTTAATTTTGCGGCAGCGGAAAACATTTTGAGCCCACAACATTTAACCTCAATTTCTGGCGAAAACTAGGAACACTGTATGCGCGTAATGGAGCGTTCATAACGGTTGATTGCTTGTATAAACTATTTCATAATCAGAGCTCAACACTGCGCTGGGATAGGCATCAATAGAAATCAAAGTAGTGCAGAAAACATGTATATAATTGCTAGCCTAGCTTCTGATTAATTCCTTCTTCATATTTTGCAGATATGGCTCCTGTTTTGACTCGGGTCAAGAAAGAGCAGCTACGCAAACGCCGTAACAATCTGCTTCGTCGGCACAATGAGTTTTGGCTTTTGTATGGAATCAAAAGCTGGCTGGTTATGGAACTCGCCGATGGGCAGGTCGTTATGTATCACTCTCATCCTGACCACTCTCCACCATCAGCAGAAGATATGGTAAGGGCAAAACGAAGATTTGACCTTAAGGAGTAATTTGTGCATCCAGAGCTAATGCGTAGAAGAGAAACCGCACCAAGCCTCCAATCGTCAGAACCCCTCGCGATTACGATACAACAACCCCTCGTGAGCCGACGGATAGGAGTATCCCGCATGTCAATACTCCAATTCGAGAAAATGGTATATGGGAGGATCTGGCGTACTACCTGGACGAATGTCGTCGGCCAATTGCATGATTAAGCGGAATTAATCCTATTCAATTGATCTACAAGACATAACAAGTTTATCAAGGATACAATATATCTGGAGCTGGTATTGGTCATTCTTATTTTGATATAACCTAGCATAAAAGGTGGTCGAACGGAGTGTCATTTAACTACTTCTACACTTTGCAGCGTGTGCGACATATGAGATTCTCAAGCCGTGTAGGGGCCCTTCTCATAGCCAAACCAGACATTGGGGTAAAAAAATCGTCTTATACTTCTGGTTTATTCAACAAATCGTGATATGTAGTATCCGACAAAAGTAAAATACTTGTGCTTCAAGAATGGAGAATTAGATACCATCAGCAAGTATATACTGTCATGTGGAGTGATATTCCTTGATCGAAGAGCGATGTGGCGAATGGATTGGGGACCCTTTGATGCGATGGCGCTTTTGAAGGTTCTTGTTACAGAGTTAGAGAACAATATCCAGGAAAATTGCTAGGTTACTATGCTATCCAACTCTGCGGAGATCCTCAGTGCGCAGATTGCCCGCTAAAGAAAGGCAGTAAGTGAAATTAATTTTCCCCTTAGCAATTTTTACTTTCGCCATTAAGATGATCCCAAACGACCATGGAAACTCCTGCGAGGGGATTCGGCCATCGAGCAATTTCATGATTCAATTTCATCAATCAATTTGTCCTGTTCAAAGTAAAATCAAATATTCACATATATCTTATATCAAATTAAGCGAAAATCTGTTTCGTAGTATGATTTAGTGGCCATTATTTAAATCGCAAGTTTGCTTCAATAAAGTTTCGCCATATGACGTGACCGGATGTTCGTTTGGTAATTGAGGGCCTCTTCGTTTCCAGAATTAAGAACTATATCAGCGTTTCACTTGCTCAGGAACTACTGAAGTTGAAAGTCAGTTCCTATCTCAAGAAGATATTGATTATGCATGTTCGAGATCTGGAGAAAATCTAAATCTTGATGATCATTATTTTCGTCGAAAACCCGAATCACATATGCACCTTAGTTTTCTGAACTAGGTAAACATTTTGCTGCCAGTGCGCGCTTCTAATTTATCATTCTTGATTACCTGATTCTTCAAAAAGGATTTGGATGGAAATGTCTGTGTTGCAAATGTTTCTTGTACCTAAAATAAAATTGATGATTCTTGAATTTTCTTTCCAAATAATACACTAGGGTCATACTGTGCTCAACAGCCAGCTATTCATAGCAGTTGATTCTCGTAATATGTGCGATTATTTGATGGAATGAAGTCAAATTATGAGTCTTGTTCTGTTATTTAAAAGCAAATTGCAGCTTCAAAATTTATGTGAGGGGCTATTATGCCCCCAAGTTGGATAAATAGATTCTGCGAACAAGATAAATAGTCTGACTTGTAGCCCTGGTCTTTCCTTTTCATTTCATCTTCGTTTTTAAATTTACCATTGTTCAATTCAATCAGCTAGAATGGCGCCGCAAAAGGAGAAAAAGCCCAAGGATGCAGAGAAAAATAACGGTATAAATAAATATTTTTCTGCAAAAGATGGGAAAAAGGACAAAGGCGAAAGTTTAGAAAGATTGGAGCAAGGAATGAACGATGGAACTATCTCTCGTGAAAAAATAAACGCCGGCCTCCAACAATCCGTGATAAAAGATCACACGGGCCAGGCACCAATCAGCAGTGAACAGTCTTCCCGATCCAACCACAATGCTCCAGAAGAAGTCGCACCCCATCAGCCACCCCATTTTGTTATATCAGAACCAAATAACACAGAAGATGTCGAAATGCAGTACTTGGAACCTAAGACTGCAGATCAAAATCATCCCCACTCGATCGAAGATAGGGTTTCTTCTAAGGCAGAAGAGCAACGCCAAAAAACCCCCGCTCATCAGGATTCATCTGTCGAAAGCCAAGCTCTCCAGAACAAGGTCTCTACTCCTGACCAATTGGAAGATGGCTGCTTGGCAGTTCTGACCACAAAGGAAAAGAAAGAGAAGGGAAGCAAGAGCACCGGAGACGAAGGGTATGACAAAGATGTCGTTATAGATGGATGGGGAACCCTGAATGGCTCGTCTTTTGTCATAATCCAAGATGGACCTTTCAAATACGCCTCTTACCGTTTCGAACGGAGAAAAGACTACTCCGATCCCGACAAAGTCTACATTTCAAACGAAGCAACGCGAATTTCTCGGCTGAAAGACAAAGACCCCTCAGGCAAAATGGTCTTCCGATACACAAAGGAGAATTTCGTCGGAATTTATGGCATTGTTTGTAGCAATGGAAAAAGAAAGTCCACCTGGATGAAAGTGAAATGGAAGAATATCAGGCCTAGCGACGATGAAATCTTGGTGAGGGCGTGCTCTTGGGAGCCGAAATCCAAGCTTGTCCGCTTTTGTGGTGGTAAAAAAGCAACCGAAGAAAAGACAGAGGAAGTCTGGAGAAACCAAAAGAAACGATATGCAGAATACCAGGAGGGGGTTGCCCCGAAGTTTGATTCTCAAGGACGCAGCATCTATGGACGTTCGCCGACTCCCTGCCCACCTGAGATGACGATAGAGCAATACCGACAAGATCGAGATGCTGCCAAAATCAAAATCGAAACTCCCAACGGCTTCCGGCAGCAGTCAGACAATCTGCAGTCTGATAAAAGTGCGATCAAAACCAAAGAGGAATTCATGGAGCAGAAAATGAAGGGGGACGAATGGGAAAAGCTCAGCGATCTAGAGAAAGAGAAGCGAAAAGTAGAGCTTGAAGCGCTTTATGATGTCTATATGGAGACCGTGAGAAACTCTGGAGAAGGCCCTAGCCATGCGCCAGAGGAGACTTCCATTTCTGTCAGTTAACCACCAAACCCATCCAGCTTTACACTTTGATATACCGCGTCGTTTCGTTAAGTCATTTGAACAACAAAGAATGAGAGCAGCAACAGTAGTTAGTGAGTTAGATAGATAGATAGCAGTCTTTCTTGAAATTAGAAGTCGTATAATTTGATCTCTCATAGCCACCTATTCATGTATTGATTTCACTTTCCTGGTTGTAATCACATCACCCACTGTCTTTGACCTTTGTCGCGCTGGTGTAGTTAATAGACTTCGTGTTTTCTTCCCAGGAATCATTAATACCTGTTTTTCTTTTATTCTTTTTCTTAATTTTTTGGAAGAATGGAAATCATTCATTCCACTCAACAACATATCCTCCCGGGTTCTCAAACTATGTCAAGCCCTCTAAGGTGGCCCTGCACTTTTTTCAGAGGCCAAACACAGCGTCTTGACAGTTACGGCCAACAGCATCCCGTTTCAGATCATAATTTGTGTGTCGCCAGAGATAAATCTCACTTAAATGAGACTGCAGGTGCCATATCACGCACGGTATGATTTTTTCAACATATTCACCAAGGAGATTGTTGATGAAAGTTATGGGAAAGGTTCCCGCACCTTTATGAGCTCGTCACAATCAATATCGAACGATGAATATGGTGAGGTCCCTTCTTTTTGAGGGACACTCAATTTCAATTTCAATTGACTGAGTTATAAAGATAAATAGTTCTTGTATCATCAGGATCCTCCGTCCTCCTCTTCTTGGACAAACTTCCCTAATTTGATAGATTCACACAAATTTATCGCCCGTCTGAGTTACCATGTCAGGCTTCAAGACGCGGGAAACAACGCAAGACGAGTAACTTGCATCTGGAAACAAATTTCAAACGTCGCTCATGGACGAAAATTAGAGATATGAGAAGTTTGGTACGAAACGATGCCTAGAGTAAACAACTTCCGAATGCTCATCATGCACGAACAGATTGTCATCACGAAGGATCTCACGCTGAGCAAACCGAGTACCTGGAGAATACAAACCTTCCTTTAACATTGATCCTTCCAACATTCCCGCTCCCGACTGTGCCGCTGACAGTCACCACCACACCTGGCTTACGGACATTTATACCGCTTGGCCCGGCTTTGCCTACAAATATATCCAATGGTTCTGCTCCCTCTTTCACTCCCTCTATGTGGCTAACATTTTATGCCCTTTTTCTGGCTGGAGCTATTTATCGAAGAGGTGATTGGGTGATTGCCGGCGCTGAAGAGGCTTCTGTTTCTTTGACCTTGGCCACAAGAATCAGTATTGAGGTAATTCTTGAATCACAATCGCCACGTATTAAAATAAGCATGAATATATCCCGGTAGAAATGGCAGCATGAAATAGACAACACTATATTTCAATGCCACCCATATCGCATTTTTCTTATAAACTTTCTAAAAATGCACGCCTAATTCCTAGGAGAGAACCCTGCTCCCAGGAGTAATGAAAGTCTAGATGCTTCTGCTGCATTGCCATTTCTAATGACATAAAATAAATACACGTACTGCCCTACTTATTCAGAGTCGCAATTGTCAGGCCTAGCTACGACACTCGATAAGCTGTTCACCATATGTTCATTCTTAAGCTGCTTCCAGCGAACGACGTTGCGTATTCCACATATCCAACAAGCTTCATCATTAATCAAACAAGATGAAGCTCCTTTCTCTTCCCCTAGAGCTACTTTTCTGTCTAGCAGACTTATTAGATGTCTCACAGGATTTGCTTTCAATGGCAAAATTGAATAAACGATCAAGTCTTCTATTCCTACCGCTTCTCTACACTTTCAATGTTCGCTGCCAGAATAGCTCTTCTCTGATCTGGGCCATCCAGCACAACCAGTCGAAACTGGCGAAAACCCTACTCGAAAAATATCAAGCGAACCCAAACACGATGGATGGCAGACTTCGGACGCCGCTATTCTACATCCACGGTATTCGAACAGAAAGGCATCAAATGATCCGCTCTTTGATCAAGAGCGGCGCAGATCTCAATTGGAGAGATGATCATCAGCAAACGCCATTACTGTACTCCCTCCAAAGGAAGCTTTTACCTGCAGCCAGAGATCTTTTGGGGTACTCTGATACAGAAGTGACTGCTCGAGATAACAAGGGCCGAAATGCGATCTGGTTTGCTACCGCCCATCAGGATAAGGATTTGGTTCGGGCCTTCCTGGCCAGGGGGGTTGACACTTTTACAGCCGACTGCAAAGGAATCGACCCCATTAACCTAGCTATCTTATATCAGAGCAGTCCAATTCTTACCATGCTGCTTGACCACGTCAAAACGAAGCCTTCAGCGGCAACCCTGGATGGCCCAAGCAGCCGTGAGCATCCGCTATTTATTGCCACGCGCAAAGGGTCAAAGGAAATGGTCCAAATACTGATTTCCTACGGAGCAAATCTCAACATCAGGAACCGAAAGGGTCAGAGTTTGCTTCATCAAGCAGCTATAAAAGGATACTGCAATATTTTGCAAACTTTTCTCGATTATGACATGATTTCTATCAACGCTACCGATACAACGGGAGCAACAGCGCTACATTTGGCCGCAAAGCATGGGCAGATATCGATCGTGAAGATCTTGCTAGCCTTGCCTGACATCGAAATCAATTCCCGCGACGTGGACGAAGTCACACCTCTCTGCATTGCTATTCGCGAGGATCAACAGTCTGTGGCCATGCGAATTTTATCCGAGGAGTTAGCTGAGATTAACGCGACCTGCCGACACGGGCAAACGGCCCTTCATTATGCCGTACAAAATGGCAATATTCTGCTCGTGTGTGTTCTCCTCGAAATTGAGAGTCTAGATCCGAATATTCGGGACGGATGTGGCTGGACTCCCATCACCTATGCTGCATTAAGTGGCAGTCTACGATTGCTGGAGGTACTTCTCACGAGACAAGACATTGCGCTGAATGTTCGAAATGCCTCGCCGATCTTCTATGCCTGTGAGAAGGGCCATATGGAGATCGTACGTCGACTTCTTGACCACAATGATGTCGATTTCGACAAAGCGGTCTGGAACAAATCTCCCCTTTTCATCGCAATCGAAAATGGTCATACTGAAATCGCGAAGCTGTTGATTGACCGGTGTGGTGGTATCGATGTCAACTCACCTACATTGCTTGGAAGCACTGCATTGTCAGTGGCAGCATCAAGCGGGAATCTAGAAATCGTGGAAATTCTGCTTCAAGATGAAAGGCTGAACTGCAAGGCCGAAAATAGTTTTGGAGAAACAGCCCTTCAACTGGCAGCACGAGAAGGAAATGAAGCAATCGTGCGAGCTCTTTGCCGTGATAAACGTGCCAGAGACCTTCCAAGCTTGAGGAAAGCGATCAGGTACTCTTCAAACATCAGATTGACATACTTTCTTCAAGAACAGGAAGAAATTTGGGTCCGAGAAAGCAGCACATGAAAAGAGCTGCTGTGTTGTTGGTTTTCATATTTGAGTAGGGAGTGTAATACGTTTGAGTATGACATCCCATTTCAGGCTCAAATGATAGTCAGAGGGCTGCCACTTTAGTTTTTGTGATTTTATCAATTGAAAGCTACTTTCAATTCTCATGCCCGTAGAAATGCCTTTGTAATTGACGGTAGATTCTGGCAGGTTTGTTGGAGTTTATCTCGATGCGATTGACTCCATTACGTCGCATAATGCAAGTGAACGGACCTATTTAGCCTCATATACGCATTTAATGCCATATTTTCCTCGAAATCGCTTGAATAGAACATATTCCGTCCTGTAGGTCTGGATTTACTCAGATTTCGCCTAGGCTGAAGTTGAGATGGGGTGACCCTAACCCGACGAGAAAAAAATGTGGACGATAAAAATTAAATCATAAGGGACAGAGATTTGCGGCTTCGAGACTTGAGCATCTGAAACCTGGCCAACGATCCAATTACCCCTTGAGTAGGCCCTGAATCCGCTTCTGATAGATAAGTTATACATGGTGATTTCGCATTGATTGAATATGATAATACTTACTGATATGGTTGTTATCGATATAAGTATGAGGAACAGAAATGAGTTTACAATCATACAGATATAATTATTCAATTGCTCCCAGTTTCTGTGATCTTCTCTTTAACTGAGATACAAAAGCTAGCCAAATCCACCAAATTGTAGTAGCATACCGGACTGTAGTATTGAATTGGTCTTCGCCGTCAGAATCCACATTCAAGAAGGGTCTAGATCAATTATGGCTTTGCTATTTCTGGAATGTCAATCTTATTGCGAACGAAAGGCTATTATACATCATTTAAGGGCAAATTTGGGTAATCTCACTGATTTGTGAGTTTACCTATGTATTATGATACCGTAAATGCAGTTTTATAAAAAGCTTGACACTAAGCGAGGTATTTTCAGTTTTTCTCTGGCAAATGAGAATTAAGCCTAGCTTGAAGTTCATGCTAAAGGCCTTCAATCACAGAGTCACAGTCCAGACGAATTTTTTCTGGATAGCTTAGTACTCTAATGTACCTTGATAGACTGCGGACTCCTCCTAGGGTACTTTTTATCAAAATGCCGAATTACTTCTTCCTATGGGAGGTCTTGCTCTTTTTTGAGTTTTACCAATAGGCGATCTTCCTCTACAGAGTAACGCAGGCGTTTTCGCGATGAGTATGAGTTAGCTGAGGCATTTTGGGTCCGGGATGAAGTTATATTGTCACTTGGCATGGACCGTGATTTCGTGTTGACTTTCTCTGGGCGAGGTATACAGCGAGACAATGTACTCTCAAACAGCTAAGACAAGAATTGCAGTCGATCCTCCGCTTTAAGTGCGGAAAATTGTGTAAGAATTGTGGACAATGAAGCTTTCTGATGACCGGGGTGTCGAGTCAATTTTCCGTGCTTTTCTTTTGGGCGATTGGTGATGACGACTGAGACTTTCTGAATTTTGGAAGACCGCCGACCAGGATCGGTCACCTTCGGCAAGTGACACCGTCTGCCACGAGAACTGCTATTATCTGTATACGAGGAATGA